AAAACGGCAAGCGCAGGCAGGGGGGAGCCCAGACCTCCGAATAAACTCAACCGGGGCAGCGGGTGGGAACCAGTAGCAACACCCCTCGAAGGCCGCCACCGGTTACGTGAAGCCACTTCCCGACGGCCTTTTACTTTTGGCTCGCTTGGGATTTAAAGCGATTTGCTACGAAGCCGAACCGCTGCTGGGTGGAAACCGTTACGGCCCCTAAAGACCGCGGCATCGGAATGCTTGCCAGAATGACCCCGGGGGAGAATCCCCTCACGGCCACCCTGTGGAGGACGAGGCTGTGCGGGGAGAGAGAGGGACGAAGACGACGCGGGACGACGCGCCAGGTTTAAAGCGGGCGAACCGGCCGGCGTTCAAAGCGGGCGCCTCCCGTCCATTCACTCGCCTGCCCGGCTGAGGCGGCGTTCTCGAGCGGCGAAGGGAGCAGGTAGGCGGCGTAGTCGGCAGCCGCGGCGGCCAGTAGAAACTCTCCGCGCGATGCATCGCCCGTCGCCGCGTACTCGTCGCCGATTCCCGAGACGTTGCTGTGGCTCTTGGAGACGTGGCCGCTGTCAGCGCTCGAGGACGAGGAAGACGAGGAGGAGTGAGGCAGCGACGACGGCGGCGGCGGCGGCGGCTCCTCAGGGACGATGACACAAGGAGCTCCGGCCGCCTGCGCCATCTCCCCTCCCGTCTTCCGGCTCTCGCCCAGCCGTCTATCACCTGATTCGGGGCGGTTTAAATCGGAGGCCTTCGAAATGACAGCTTAATTGTCGCCCCCCCTCCCCTCCCCTCCCCTACGGAAGCTCAGCGAGGACAGTTTGAGCGACTGGAGTTACTCGCTCGCCTTTTTCATTCACGTTCTGCTTTAGAGCAGTGTTTCTCAACCTTGGCAACTTGAAGATGTCCGGACTTCAACTCCCAGAATTCCCCAGCCAGCGAATGCTGGCTGGGGAATACTGGGAGTTGAAGTCCGGACATCTTCAAGTTGTCAAGGTTGAGAAATACTGCTTTAGAGAGTGGAGCCGAAGCGAGTGTTTCGAGGTGAAGCGCCTGCTTAGGTCACGTAGGAGAGATCCCGCCTCAAGGGAGTCGTGGGAGGGTTGTTTTTTTTTTGCTTGCATATCCCGGCCTGCTTTACTCCCCCATTTGGTTTATACTACACACGGCCTTTTTTTTTTTTTAAACAATCTCAGCGATTCGAAGATTATGGTGGACTTCAACTCCCAGAATTCTCTGCTGGCTGCAACGGTAGCGGTTGTCGTTTGAGCAAACACTGTTGGTGGAGGAAACTAAGGGAAGTTTTTCGTCTTCTTCCCTTCCTGTCTTGACTTCCTAGCAGTGTTGTACATGTACAAATCTGTTGAGAGATGACAAGTTACTTTAAATTAGGCTGGTGTTGAGACGGCTGGATCAGAATTTGGATTCCCAAACTCTAGGCCACGTGGGAAAGTTTTTAAAAATCTCAGGAGAAGCCAGTACACTGTGCAAGTCACCAGTTTTTAAAATCTTTCATTTTTCACTAATTACCTGGGGAGATGGTAGAATGCTTAATAGGTACAAGACTAGGTGGGATAGCTAACGCTTTCAGCAAAATTAAAACTAGCAGCAATGATCAGAAATGGCTTGACAGTGTAGGAAGTTAGCACTAGTAGTGGATTTCCATTTTTTTTTTACAATGGTTCGCTCATGTGCATTTGCTGGTGTGTGATGCTTCTGTGCATGCATGGATATTTCTTCCAACAATTGCACAATGAAATCAATCAAAACTTATGGAAAGCTGATGAATTTTAAGGCACTAAAATGAATTGTTCAAATGTAATACACTGAAATACTGTACCATAGAGATGCCAAATACTTTAGAAGATGTTCCCATACTTAACCAAGACCTCTACTATTAAAATATGGTATTAGATCAATACTCTGGTCATTACCAAGTCAGAAGGCTAAAGAAATGAGGGAAGACCCACTGAAATACGGCAAAACAACAATAAGAATTAGTAACAATTCTAAGTAAGATATGCCAGCAAATTTGGAGAAACATAGTAGCCAACTGATTGGAAGAAGTCAATCTATGTTCTAATATCAAAAAAGAGCCTTAACAGAGTGGGTAAACTATCATCCAATATCCTTAATTTCACATGCTAGCAAAAAAAATAAATGCTTAGGAACATCCAATACAGATTAGAGCCCTATATGGAAAAAAAACTTGCCAATTTTCAAGTTTTAGAAAAGCCTGAGGAACATGAAACATTAATGTTGATTTGTGTTGGATAATTGAGGAAGCTAAAGAATACCAAAAATAAGTTAGTATGTGTTCCGTTAATTATAGAAAGGCCTTCATTTGTGTTGATCATGTCAGTTGTAAAATGTAAAAAAAAATTCCAGAAAGATACTGATTTCATGGGAAACACAAGGTGCTGTGTCTTTGTGAAAACAAACAAACAAAGGCTCTAATACTGGGAAAGAGAGAAGGAAGAGAAAACAATGATCAAAAGAAGAGATGGATTCAGGTACAGTGACAATGAATCTACCAATGGAAGATCTGAAAGGCCATTGTCATGAAGAAAATCTATATGGTTACTAATAGTTGACACCAACTTGATGGCACATAAATAAGCAGAATAAACAAATTATCTGTTATAAAACTGTTGAAAGTTTCATGTTAACTCGTTGACTTTTAAAATGTGATTTAAACTTAATTGTCTAGTGAAATTATTGCTTTGAATTCTCCGGACTATATTTTGAAGACATGTGACTGTTGCTTTCAAAGTAATATTTTTGCATGTATAAATGGCTCATAGGACTGAAAATCCTTTGAAAGTGGTGTTTTGACATGCACAAGAAAGCTGTGAAGCATCTGTCTTCAATCATTTAAGGAGCTGCTTTTCCCAGGCATGCATGACTGCTTTACTTTTGCTAGTAAAATGGCTGTGTATGCACTGATGGATATGAAAACAATTGGCAGCAAATTCCAAAACAGCCATGTGAGCTTGGAAGAAGTGCAGCTTCTTTAATCCCTCTGGGTGAAAATGTAATAAAGTGTATACCTGTGGTTTTTGTAGCTCATTGCTAAACTAGCTGTGAAAATATTCTTGGTCCTCTGTTAACAGTTCATGGTGTTTACAATTTAATTAGAATAAAAAAAAATGTAGATAGAGTCTTTGCAAAACTTTCATTTGTGTTCAGAAATACCCGACTTTTTGAATGGGCAGGAAGCATATAAATTTTGCATCTGAGGTCGAATGGCTGCTTATGCATCATACAAAAATAAGATTAAAATAAAAGGGAAAATGAAATATAAAATATCTATGGACGCAGATGGTTAGATCCCCTTTTACTACTTTTACAGAGAAATACAAAAGAAATAGGAACTAAATTCTATCTACAATATTGCAGAAGACAAGAGTCATGTTAACATGATTGACAGAAATATTTGGAAAATGGTGAAAGACATAAGAGTTTGGTTAATCTTTTAAAGCAAAAGATAGGGCAATGATTCCAATTATTAGAGATAAAAGATTAAATATGTAAAACTTCAAAATACATTGTCAATTTTTAACATTCTATTCAGGGTGTACAGTATAGCAACCCAGATAATATATTGGTTGAGGATATAGAGGCTTTTCTAATACAAATCTATCACACTTAGGTGATACACAAAAACAAATTTGCCCCACTATCTGAGATTAAACAAAGAATTTAAAAAATGGCAGATTGTAAAACACCAGTAGTTGGGCTATCTATAGCGTGGTATAAAACATGTAGTGTCCGGTTCATTAGATACCCTAATGAATTCATGAGCCTCAAGCCAAGTTTCAAAAGAAAACCAGTCATGAGTTAACATATCTTTTGGTATCAAAACGTTTGTCAATTGTATGATGAGATAGCTGATAAGGGAACAGTGGCATTTAATTAGATTTGTATTGCAATTACACCAAAATCAGTAAAGCTCATACTCAATATGCTAATCATTACTCAATCTTATTAATGTTGATACAAAGATCTTAACAGCAGTGTTAGCAAATAGATCATAGCAATTGATACCATTCATTATTGAGAATGATCAAGTAGGGTTTATAAAAACCATGCAAGTAGAAATATTAGGCTAGCTGTAGATTTAATAGACTTAAATAAAAATTAAGACAATAGCAATAGCAATAGCAGTTAGACTTATATACCGCTTCATAGGGCTTTCAGCCCTCTCTAAGCGGNACAAAGAAGGCACTGTAGTTTTCCGGAAAAAAGTGCAGCAACAATCTAAAGGCCAGCATGGATCTTACTGATAATACTCCCCTTTACATGTTACCGCTTCCAGTTAAATCACATACATTGTCCTTGATCAAGACAAGGAAAGTAGTCTTCAGTCTTGAAGAGATCAAGTGGCTCATACAGGGCTTGATTTTGCCTCGATGAAGATGATTTCTGTAATGAAATTTTACATATCAAAATACTTTTACACCTGACTTTTTTAGAACCTACAATTTAATAGTTTTGAACAAAATGCCCCTCTTAAGTTTGTGTGCCTTCCATGAAATATACCAAGCAGACTTTGAAAAGATTAGAACTACATATACATTTCAATGTGCATAAGGGATTTCTGGAACAAATTATCAGAAATGTATCCACTATTTTTCATGGAAAGTCTGTTGGGATTGTCGAGTTTTCCAATATGCAGAGCACAAATGAAAAACCTCTGAATCATGAAATGTGCTATGCCGTTTGCAAGGCTTGCATAGATGCCTCAGGCATATTTTACAGCTTTTTTCATCCACTAGTATGCTAACTTGCTTCACTTGAAAAAGTGAATCTGCATTTCTTTCAGATTATCTTACTCCCCCATCCCAAACACAGAGCCAGGAGATGCATGACAATGGGGACAAAAGGTGCAGAAGCGAAGTCTGTCTTCTCAGGTCCATGTTGGCTGTTGCCTTCGTAGTAAATGATAGCAGTAACTGCTATGAAACAGTAGCGGAATATGACATTCCCCCGCCCCTCCATTATTGGTTATAAGTCTCATTATTCCTGATTTAATTGAACTATCCTTATCTTTTGGTAAATAATCAGGTCAGTCTACCATGCAAACATGCTCAATGTGCACAGATGATTTCAATGTTGCAGTTGTCCAATAAAAATATTTTAAGTGCAAAGGTAAACATACTGAACAAACAAGCCTAGGTAAACCACTAGCTATAAGAGGTTCTAATACATCAAGAAGGGAAACATTTCTATCTTTATTCCTTTTATTTGGTTAACTCCCAAATGAGTGAATGGGTTTTTGTCCTTCAAAGTATTTATTTCAAGGAAATATCTTTACACAGCTTTTATAAACACATGTAAACCACAGAAAGGAAATGGAGAGTAGTTGAGCAAGATAACTCATCTCACTGCATCCTCTTTCACATGGTGAAAGAGGATTACTGACCAAGCCAAAGATTTCTCTTTATAGAGGACCTGAGATGTATAATTTTTAATGTTTTGAGGTCTAACTTGTAGCAAGTTAGAAAGACCATGTAAACAAAAGCAGCCTATCAAGAACTATCTGTTATAATTGTGGCCGCTGCCAAATGACACTTTCAGGGCAGTAGCACACAGCTTTAGATAACTGTAGGAAGGCCATGTGGTAGACTGGCCACTTCTCCCTCACAAAGGTGATCATCGGAAAAAGTAAGTGAAAAGATGTGTGACAAGGGAAGGAGGCGCAAGGATGTGGGACCCATGGGGAAGGAAACAGGCCCAAGCCCTGTGGGAACTCGGCCAAGAAGAAGATAGGTCCAAGGGACTCAGGTGAAATGGAAAGAAAGAAAACCAGATGGGGGCTGCAGAATCCCTACAATCAATTGTAAGGGTAGGCAACTTGCCAAGTGCCCAACTTGCTCATCTGACCACAGGGGCACTGAAGCGGCTGTAACTTTGGGTAAACATTGTTAGTTCCTTTGTTCGGTGCCATGGTAATTTAGAACAGTCACTGAAGGAACATTCTAAGTTGAGGACTACCTCAATCAGTCTTATATACAGAATAAGAAGCATGGTGGATGAAATGAGCATGCTTATCCAAGCCCCTCCTCTGGAGGACAACAGGAGCAGATAATTTGTTGTCCTCCAAATTCCTTTGTATTTATTTAAAGGAACACCCTGAAAAAATAATGATTAAAATAATCATTTGTCCCCCATTTTTACATTCTTTGAAAATCTAAAATAACTATCTCACTGAATGTTAATTTGGAAATTATTTGGGGTAAATGTATCATAAATTTATGAATTCCTAATAATCAATCATCCACCTTGAGCTTATGGAAGTTATGCATCTAGATTTGGATCAGATTTGTCCCTGCTATAGAGATTAAAGAAGTCTAAGGTTTCTATAATCTACTCCATAAACTAATTTCAATTTGTATCTTGCATCTTTTCAGCCTTAATAAAGAAAACTTACATTTAAAAAAGATGGCACGTTGATTGTGTACAATAATTTCTTTAACGTATTTGGAAAATTTCCAAGGTCTGATTCTGCCTTTATGATCTGTTCCTCCATTCCAGCCACATTATTACCAATCATTTTTACAAAGGTCTGGTTTAAAAGAAAAAGAGAAAAGATAGCAATAACAACAATGTTAACAAAGATGGTTTAATTTCCTAGTTTTGAATTAGAATACTGGACTAAACCTGAAAAGAATTAAACTTCTTTAACCGTATTAGGTTAACTGCAGTGATTTCCTTAACAACCGTGGCAAGAAAGGTGGTAAAATGGGACAAAATTCACTTTAAAATGTCTCACTAAGCAACAGAAATTTTGGGATCAATTGAGGTTGTAAGTTGAGGACTACATGTAGAGATTCATTAGATTTGAATACCAAAATGTATTTTCTATGATAGGAACTTACACATTACTGGGCAATACTAATATTAGACTTATATGTTACCTGAGTTTCAATGATTAAGTGAAATGTCATCTTTAAAATAAATTTACATTTATCTTTAATATTTATCAAAGATACATGTGTTCATTAAAACATTGGGAAAGCAGTGTGAAT